ATTTTATATAATATTTAACATCATTCTGACAAACTGAAATGAAAATGAAAGCAGAATACAGTAGGAAAGCTTTCAGTTATGTGCATATGCACCTTCTAGAATAATATATTTGACTAAATTAAGCAGTCTGTCCTTGCTCTAAATATACTAAACTTTTCACTTTTTGTAAAGTATGAATTAAGACTTTTTCAAATGGTCAGTATTAATGTTGCATGCTTGCAAGATGTATGAATGTTTACTCTCATGTGTATATAATGATTTAAAAGCCACACCTACCCTAGGAAATTGAGCCATCACTGACAATAGTAATCAATGGTTTCCTTTTGAAAATTATTTAATTGCTTACTGTAAAAAGTTGACTACTACTTTCCCTTTTGATATTCCATACATAACTGACATTTGAATCAATGACTCTCCAGGGCCAGTGTTGGTGCAATTGTCACCTTGCTTGGCATCTAGTTAAACATGAGGCAAACGGTGATCATAAAACTGTCTTTCTGGTTTACAGTGCATGACTGCAAATTCAGAACATCTCCTATCTGAAAGTTAGATCTTTGTATTTTGACCTTCTGTGTAAGTTCCAAAGTGAAGATTGAATACGGCCAATGGTATTTATGTACAGGTTACATCAACCTGGAGGCTTTATTTGGGGTGACCAGGTGCTTTGTAACAGTGATGTTAGAATGCTTGAGACTGATAATGTTTGGTAGCTCTAACATCTGTCTTATGGATTAACTATGAATTTCTGACTGCAAAAACCATGGGACTATCCCAGATGGCTGGTTAGCTTCACTCATAAGTCTGGATACAGTCTGATTGTGGTACCATATCTGGATTGGAATCAGAAGTTAGGCAGGAGAACACTATCTTAATCTGGAGTGGCTTTCCCTCCCTAGGTTTCCTTGGGGTGTGAAACCTAGTCCATTATCAGAGGTTGATCATACCAGAGAGCTTCCAAACTAATTGACCATTGCTTTCACTTCCTGAGACCTGAATAAAGGTTTGATTTGAGTGTTGAGTGAGATATCTTATTCTATATAAACTGGTTTGCCCATCTTTAATCTGAATATTCAAATAGTGTGTGGTTGATTTTATTATTTCACTATGTCAGCACAACCTTTGAGTCACAGAAACTAGAATGTGTATACACGTGATCAAGTTAAACTTATGAAATCAGGCAAAATACATGCACAGGCTTTGCAGAGACATGTTTATAAATGGATTATGTATGGTGCAGACTGTACTTTCTGTGTTTTTACTTGACTCAGGCATAGTGTGATCTTTACCTGTTGCTAAAAAGGTACACTCAGAGCTTATTTCTGAAGAAGGTCTCACAAGTCTTTACTGCTGTTCTGATTTTATTTTTTCTACATGTGGCTATTCCGTGTAGAACTAATTAATAGGGTTAAAAGGAAAACATGAATGAACAATTGTTTCTGAACACTCATACTTATCTTAATGGATTTCAAACACAGTCAAAAGGTTTTCCCCTATTTGTATTCATATGAAGGAGAAGCACTATTCATTCAACACCTGCTTTGTTCCTGTCTTTGTTGTGTTCACCAACAAAGAACTGTTCTCCTTTGGTCTAATAGTATAGAGGAACTAGTTGTTTTCATCATACAGTGGAAGGCTTGCTTCCCTTTGCTCATTGTAGTTACTATAATGTAGTCTCTTTTATACTCTAAGCCTGCCATCCTCATTTCTGTGATGTTGGTGTCACTAAACCCACTGGTTTTCATCTATGTGCTTAATCTGCACAGAGATTTAGGTTTGTTACTAGGAAAAATTTTCTTACTATAGGCAGTCCCCGGGTTACATACAACATAGGGACTGTAGGTTTGTTCTTAAGTTGAATTTGTATGTACGTCGGAACTGGTACATATTGTAGGGGAAACTCTAGCCAAACATTTCTCCAGAGCTGAGTTTTATTCTCCCACACCTCACTTCCCTCAGTCCTTTATTCTCAAGCTGAGGTGTCTGCTGAGAAAAGCCGCTCCGTGTCTCCCTGGTCTGCTGGGGGGGGGGAGGTGCTAGCTTCGCGTCTCCCTGGTTTGCTGGGGGGAAGCAGCTAATGCGGGGCTGCCTCATCCCGTTTGTAAGTAGGGATCTGATGTAAGTCGGATCCATGTAACCCAGGGATTGCCTGTATAAGGATAGCTGAACTCTGGAATAGGGTTCCAAGGCAAGTTCTGGAATCCCCATTGCTGAAGATTTTCAAGAACAGATTAGACAAGCCCCAATGGGAATGTGCTACTTGCTCCTGCCTCAGGCAGAGGATTGGACTTGATCCTCATATGGTCCCTTCCAGTCCTACATGTCTATACTATCATGTGAGAATTCAATTTCGATGGCACAAATGATCACAGAAAAGGGGATAATCTTTCCTTGTTGTATGGCACTGGATTCCTGAAGAAAGCATGCCCTTTAGGAACAAGATCCCAGAAGATAGTTGAGGGACATTAGGAAACTCAAAGACTGATTTTGTGTGTATTTTCCACAATAAGTGTTTAATCAGGAGGAAACAGATGTGGAAGAATGAATACATTCCTTATTAAAAAAATCTTGCTTTAATTTGCATACTACAACTGTAGAGTGGGAATTACGGGTCATAGATTTGCTAAAAGGAGGAAAAAAAGTAAAAAGACTGTAGGGTATGTAAATTTCACACTACACAATAGTGTCTTCTACCTTTTATTTGTGAAGGAAATTTGGAATGATAAAAAGTACACCTCTCAGATTACTGCTGGCTCTCTTTTGTAATACAGGACAGGAGGAATGAAAATAAGAGCTCTCGATATTCCAATCCATATTGGGCTTTATGCAGTGCTCCTCAGCCAGTGCTTTTTCTTGTTAAAAAAAAAAAAAAAAAAAAAAGGGCCCCAAACCCCAAAACAAACTGGGGTGGCACTGCCCTTTTAAGAGACACAGCCCCTTTAAGAAACACTGCCCAGCCAACTGTCAGACATTTGCATACAGAGGTGCCAGTATGTTCCATTCTTTCCAGGTAGGCTCTTACTGGAGATGCCAGTACTGCGTACTGGGCAGTACCGTCACAAAAAAAGCACTGCAAAAGTTATCACCATACTATCTGAGCATCTTCCAGTGGAGCATTAAGCAATGCAACTACATATCTGCAACTACATGTTCTTTATTCTCTCACCTTCTCCCCAGAAGGAGAAGCATCTGTATGGAATGTCTTGTTTTGATAAGGTATGCTTTTGGGGGAGCTCTAATATAAATATACCTTTTTCTATGTTTTTATGTAAGAGAAGGTAGTTCAAAAAACTCACTTTACACTTCAAGTGGAAAGTGGTAAGATTTGGAAGAATTTGTTCCATAGTCTTGGGCCACCCACAGAGACATTTCAGTCTCCTGCCTGGACACACTTTACTCTGATTGTTGAAAGTTCCATTATGGCAAAGGAGCAGAGCTGCAAACCACAGTCCTGGGACTTTAGATGGTCTTTTAGGTATCCTGGGCCCAAGCCATGGAACACTTTGACAATAAGGACTAAGATTGTGAACTTGTTTTGAAATGCTATGAGAAGCCAGCTTGATCTGTTGGAAGCAGCCTGTGTTGCTGAGGAGATGTGCTGCAGTATTCTGAACTAGTTGGTGTTGCCTAAGTGCTGAAAGGTTCATGCCCAACTATATTGCACAGCTGAGAGGTGATGAAGGCAGGAATAATTGAGAATATGTCTTCATCCACCAGGATAAGTTGGAATCTTCTACACCCTCCACTTGGCTTGGAAGCATTTCTTGTTGATGCTGATATATGAGAGCTCAGATTCAGTGAGGGCAGGAATCTACTACTCCTAGATTATGGACTGAACTGACAAATTGCAGGGTGTATCTTCAACCAACAGACACTGTACTGTGGCAGCAAGCTCTTCAAAAGGCTTTCCTCTTCCCACCACCATCACCTCTGTCTTGCCTGGGTTCAGCTTCAGCCAACTGTTCTTCGTCCAAGAGCTGATCTCTTCCAATCATTGCCCCCTAATGACAATGTTGGTGTGGTCTTATGTAGTTGAGAGGTAGTGCTATGTGTGTCACCTGCATATTTATGGCACCTAAGTCCCTGTCAACTGACCAGTTCATCTAGTGGCTGGACTTAAATGTTGAAAAGGACTGGAGAGAGAACTGGTCCTTGTAGAACTCCACAACTGTGGAGTCTAGTAGTAGAGGTGCCTTCCCCCCTCAGTCACTGGGTGTATCCCTCCAGAAAGAACTGAAATATTTTAGCATGTTATCTGGACTCCTGCCACCTCTCTCAGGAGAGACAGAAAATTATCATATTCAACAATGTTGAATGCCAGAGTGAGGTCCAGGAGGATGAGAGCATAGATGTCTCTCTTCTCTGTCTATTACAGGAAGAGATCATCTAGCAATCAGATGAGCCTTTTCCTCACTTCTTTATGCACTTGCTCAGGAATGGGAGGTGACTACGACTTGAAGTATCCTGAAATACCCAGGGTGGATTTCTTCATTGTTGGTAGGACTATTGCATGTATGAAGGAGGAAGGGAAGATTGGCTGTTTCTGTAGGGAGTGGCTCCAGTTGTTCATGATCTTGTTTCACAAGCTAGGAAGGGGATGAGTCAGATTCAGAAGTCTTGAGTTGAGCCCTTTTTTTGTTCTCATCTAGCCTATTGGGGTTTCATACACGGTCTTAAAATAACGGAGGGTTCTTTTGTGTTAACTCTTTAGTAATTCTTTTCTTTTGGCTTTGTTATGGTAGATTGTTCTGCTGCATGATCCACTCATTCTAAAAAGTTGATGGACAGATCACCTTTATGTAAAGATTTCCCCTTATGTGGCTGTTTCCAGTAGGTCTTTCTAGGTATTTGTTCCATTAGGAACCTCTGAGAAAGGGCCATGTTGCTTGCATATCTGTGTATTCCTAAAACATTTGTCTTTATGACATCATAAACTGTTTGTCAGGTCATCTCCTATGTTTCCTCACCCTTCTGCACCTGTACATTATTTTCCTTGGTGCACAGTTGTAAGGGGGTGGTCCCTTGGCATGGCCTTGGATGTGGCCGGGCCAGGCTCCCGGGGTCCCCTCTCGTGGTTTATTCTAGCCCTATCGGTGAGGCACCTCCAGCGTCGGGCAACCAATAGCCCTGTCGGGGTCCCCTTACCAATTGGGCATTGTGACTACCCTTCGCCCTTGCCCCAGCAGGACTAACCCCCAGGGTCCTCAGTCTGGACCCTCATGTGGTCATACGTCTCACTCTACCCGCAGAGTGCGACTTCCTATATCCCTGCCTCCATACCGGCTGGTGCGGGGTAGGGTTTCACCTGTCATTCCCCTGCGGGGTAGAGGGACCGGGGCCCACCCTCACTCACGGATCCCATCCCAAGGTCCTAAGACAGGGTCATCTGGGTCCCTGCCTGGCTGGCGGGGGATCCTTCCTGCAACTCACCAGCCCACGGGCTTCAGCAAGCCCTGCCCTGGGCCACTTCCTACCCCTCCTGCTACCTTCTTATAGCCGCACTGGGGCTATGGGCAGGTTCTCGGTGCTCCCCAAACCTGCCCCGGTCACCCATCTGCTCACCCCCTTTCCTGTGTTCCGGAGCAGCTTTCGTTCCTCCCGCTGTCTCCGGCCCCGCCCCTTATATAGTGTGGGGCACCATCGGCGTGGATGGCCCCACCTTCTATGTCGGGCAGGATGCCATGCCCTTGCTTAGCCCCGCCTCCTCCCAGCTGCGCTGCTACTGCCAAGCAGGCAAGGCAATGGGTCGGGCCTGCCTCCCATTAGGCGTACCAGGTCGTGGAGGGTTCTGAGGCCCCCCAGAACACCGGCGCCCCGTCACAACAGTGAATATAGATTCAAATGAGTGGCCAGAAATCCAAGTGAGTACTTATTTTGCATAAGGGAAAAATACATTTTCCACTTTTGCAACTATATTATATGATAATTTTACTGTGTATAAATTACTACAGAGCAGATCCCTGAAAGAGCTAACAGCCCTTGAAATTCAGACACTTGAGTTTGGCTGACAGTCTGGATCAGTTTTGTTGAGGTCCTCAGATTTCATTCATTCCTTCACACTCCCCAATGCACATGCAGCTCCCACACATTCTGGCACCTTTCCTCTAGCAAGGATAGTGAAACGTGTAGCCTATTCTCAGATTACATCTGTGATGCTCTATAAATTAGGGTGGAAGAGTAGCCTGTACATTTCTCTTTCCCCATTCTACCATCCTAAACTCCCTTGCACCCTAGGCATTCTCCAACAGAGCAGTGTTGCTTGGTCCCACAAATACATTACTGCCATGGTTCTGACTGCCTGGACGACCTTGGCATTTGCTCTTATTTTTTTCTGCCTTCCCTAATGGACACAGCAGTACTAAGCAAAGCAGAATGCAAAGAACAAGAAAATGCAAAGTAATTGACTCTACATACAGTCATAGTGCCTGGCTCAATGCCTGCTCAGAACCTGAAATATTTGAATAGCCACAAAAGTTTTAACTAGGGATGTAAAAGGTAGTTTAAAATGCAACCGTGTAACTGCTAAAAGCTTAGCTTTATACTGCAGAGGTGGCAGTGAAACCTCCCTGGGAGTGGGGCTGGCAGGGGCTGCTAGCCCCTCTCCTAGTGGAGGAGGCTTTTCAGCCCTTGGTGGCACCGCTCCCAGGGAGCCATAGCGTGTAACCTGCAGCTCAGGGGCCAGGCCAGATACAGTAAAACTCCATTGGTCCGGCATGCAATGCTCCGGCACCATCAGGAACCCGAAAGTGCTCTGGCTGCCCGACAATTGGAGCTGATCTGCTCACGGCTTCCCCGATTCAGCGGCTGCTAAAACTGACCAGCAGCTGAATTGGGGAAGCTGGGGCAGAGCAGCTGGGGTGCTGCCGGGTTCGTCCCATAGCGCTGCACCTTTCCTGTGGTGGGCTCTGGGGCTGAAGCAGCCCCCTAGGGTGGGTGTGAAGCTGCTCCAGCCCCTACTGGTTAACTGGAACTAATAAGCCTCACCCACTAAGGCTTATGCTTACCACTTAACCTTTTACATCCCTAGTTTTAACCCTTTTTAAAATTAAATATACAAATGGTTTTTCAAGTGTAGAGCATTGTGCCTTTCTTATCAGTAACTAAACACATTGAAGGTCTTCCTCACATATTCATATCTGAATAGTTACCATGGGGATAAACAGTTATTTTCTATGTATGTTCTGTTGTAGAGTATATTAAAACTAGTTAACAGTCAGTGAAATACTCTGTGTTTCAGAGAAACCATTACTTATAATAATGGCAGTAATTACGTTATTTGAAATTATGTTCATTTAAAAGAACTTCTACTGATTTCCACTGCCAATTTGTCCTTAAGCATAAACTAATTTCTAACTTCTATATGCCTAATGAAAGCGATGAAAATATCTTAGTAATTATTAAAGGTTTGTATTCATGATATTCAGTTGATTAACAATAAATACTTTGATTTCATTCAACTTTTCTTAAAGGGGCACTGCCTTTTGTTAACTTATATTTCATGAATTAAAACGCGCGCGTGCGTGTGTGTGTGTATCTATAGCTATCTGTTTTTCTATCTATATCTATATCTATATCTCTATATAACCATTGTATAACAATGGAGGGTTTAATTTATTTTTATATAAATGAAATCAGTTGCTTGTTTGAAATTAAACAGCCCCCTCATTGTCTGCATCTAAACCTTGCATCTGTGGGCAAGACAGATTAAAAAACAAACATAAAAATGACTAGCCTATTTAATTGTCAGTGGTGAGTGCCATGCCAAAAAGAAAATGTTACTTTTTAAAAAGTACTTTACTTGTGCTTCAGTAAGAACTGAAGTACTGGGCCAATTTCTAGAAGCATAGAGGCTATGCTTTTTCGGAAGACTTTTTTTTGGACGAGATCTTCTTTCGGAAGACTTTTTTTTGGATGAAATCTTCTGAAAAAACTTCTTCCAAAAGAGTGTCCACACACAAAAGCACATGGAAAAATCAATGTGCTTTTGCAAAAGAGAATGTCCAGACTGATTGGATGCTCTCTCACATATAAGGCCATCCGGAACCAGTTCAGGCAGGGCTTTAGGTCACCAGTTGCTTCCGAGTGCTGGTGCCAGAGCCTTGCAGAGACAGGAGCTTAAAGGGACCCCCTCTGGACAGCCATTTCTCTGCTTCTGCTGCGTGATTGCAAGGGGAGTGTCTGGCCACAGTGGGATCACCTCATGGGTGGCAGAGGAGCTGGGAGCAGCCTGGCCCTCTCTGGGGTCACACACACACCTGCAGCTTGCAGTGCTGTCCGTGGGAGCAGGTGTTGCCTCGCACATGCAGCACTCAGTCTATGTGGGGTCATGCCTGCACCCTTCTGGCTAGCCTGCTTCCAGCCGTGGCAGGCCTCCCCGCCCCATGGCAGGACATGTGTGGCCTCCCCTGTGCCTGGCAGCAGGATCCCATCTATGCTCAGGGACTGCCTGCTGCATCCACGTGTCACACACTAATGCTGCACGTGGTTCCGCAGCACGTGTCCATCCTGAGCAGCCTGAGCGATACCCCCTCACTCCCTGTGTGCCTGCCTTCCCCGCCTTGCATGTGTGACAAAGTGAGACCATTCACCTGAAGATCCCTCCCAGGCATCAGAGGAGGCCTGGGAGACATCCTGGCTCACGAGCACTGGCTTGAGGGACAGGGTGACAGTCTCAGTCTCCTCCTCCGCCTCCAACTGGCCCTGGTCCTCCTATGCCAAGACCTCTGGCCAGGCAAAGACGGGGATCTCCAGGCCGGAGTCCATGAAAATGGGTGGGGAAGACGTTTCCTCCCCCTCCCCCGGGATCTGGTAGAGCTCCTGGTAATAGGGGCAAGTGTGGGGTCCTGTCTCTGAGCGCGAGCTGCACTCTCTGACCCAAACATATGCTTGGCAGAGCTCCTTATCCTTACTGTGAACCTGTTTCAAGGCCAGGGTTGGTGTCTATGCTCCGCCAAGGACTCAGCCATCCACTCATATATGTTGGCATTGCAGCACTTGGCTCTGAGATCCTGCAAGGTGTCCTCCTCACCCCACAGCTCGAGGAGGGAGAGGACCTGCAGTCCAGGCCAAGAGGGTGTGCGCCTCTTGGTCCCCGTGGATGGGTCCTGGGACCCCTGGAGCTGTTCCCTGCGAGGGCCAGGGTGGTTGCAGGAGGCTTGTGGCTTGGACATAGCTCCAAATGCTGTGGCAGGGAGAGCTATGTGGTCAAGGTGCTGCTCCAAGGCCAGCTTCCTGCCCCAAGGCTTGTCCAGGGTGCCTGGAGACAGGAACTATAGAGTTCATAAAATCATTGAATCATAGGACTGGAAGGGACCACGAGAGGTCATCGAGTCCAGCCCCCCGCCCTCAAGGCAGGACCAAGCTCCGTCTACACCATCCCTGACAGATGTCTATCTAACCTGTTCTTAAATATCTCCAGAGATATTTTCAGAGTTGTGATTCTTTGGACAGAATGTCCACCAGGGCACCTATGTTATTTCCTGGAGGCCTCTTCTTCCAAAAGAAAACCCTCCTCCCCGTCCACACACAGCTTTTTCTGAAAGAGCTCTTTCGGAAAAAGGCTTCTTCCTCACAGAAAGAGGAGTACCAACGTCAGAAAAAGCTCTCTGTTCTTTCAGTTTACTTTTGGAAGAACACAATTGCAGTGTGGATGTTCCGCAAGTTTTGTCAGAAAAATGGCCATTTTTCTGACAAAACTCTGTAGTGTAGACGTACCCAGATAGAGGGTGAAGTATTAGCCAGTGTTTGGGAGGTTATCAGTTTTGTTTAAAGCTGCTGCTGACTAATTTAGATTTAATTTGTAATTTAAAAAGAAATTGAAAAGTGTTCAAAGCGCCTGTGAGAGCACATCTTATGGTTCAACATCAAAATAAATTGACATTTATAAACAGTTTTAAAACCCATACAAACAGAATGGTTAATAAGGGGCACATGAAGGGCATTATAGTTGAAAACAACCATGGCAAAATATGCTATACATTCTTATATATAAAGACTTGAAAAGCCTTCCATTACATGAATTATTTTAAAATTACACTGGAGAATTAAATTTAATACAAGATACTTTAGAGAAGGATGCTGAAATTAGATTGTGTGTGATCCTTAGCTATATTTATAGGGTTGGGATTGAAATTAGTTCACATTATTCTGAATGCTACAGACTGAGGGGAGTAACCTTCTCTCCTTTTGTAATAACAAACATCAAGTGGCTGACTGTTCCTAAAGAGACAATTTGTGTAAAGAAATGTTATGCTAAATTCTTTCTTGGTTCTGTAATTAATTTCCTGCATTCAGACTTAGTAACACCTCTCTTGCTGGGGAGAAAGTGCCTGAAATAAAAGGAAGGAAAGTGCAAGGTTGACCAGAGACTAATTTTGAAATTTTGTCTGTCAGTAAATCCAGGAGTGGGATGGATGCCATTAACATTTCCCAAGGATTAGTGAGTATCACTACATCAACTGTGGAATATAGAACTGGCTTGGGAAAAGAAAAGGAGGAATTAGGATTTATTTATAGTATCTCACTTTTTATATTCTCATACGCGGTATGATACATTTAACTTATAACTTCTATTGCAGGTATCAAGACAGTATTTTCTCACCCTATTGTGTAACATCCACTGGATTTCAACCTTTTTTCATTGGCGGACCCCTAAAAACATTCCGAAGGAGGTGGTATGGACCCTTTTAGAAATCTTAAGAGGCTCTATGGACCACAGGTTGAAAAGCACTGGTCTACACGTATACTTTGTTTGAGAGAGAGACTCACTCACTCTTTTTTCTTTCCTCCTTCCTTCTCTTTTGCTCTGTTTTTATATCATTTTCCCAGACTGTTGCAGAGATGTGTATGGTAATGCTGGCTGTGCTTGCAATTTAACACGAAGTCTGGAGTAGGAGGTGCTTTCAGGACAACAAAAATCCCCCACCCCCCCCCAAAAAAAC